AATGTACCGCTTAAATGTGCACTGGGGCCAGATTTTAAAGAGGCCCACCGAATCTTCCCAAATTCCTTTTGTTTCGTCATCATGTACAGCAAATGTTGTCATGTAAACAAGAAAGTACACACTGAAGGACCTTAAAAGAATGCTGTGCTTTGGGTCTTAAAGTGTTTTACCCCTTGGTTCCGTTAAAACTACTTTCATTTTGACTCGTTAGTTCTACCTGCAACTCATTTTGGACTTCCGAGGGAGATGTTGCATACAGAAACCAGTCTTGCAAACTGGTGCTATAAAAGCGTGTTTTTTGAAATGTTGCAACTGATTCGGAGTTGCGGCAAAAGCATATGCATCTGATAGGCCTTTACAAAATGCAAAAAGAGCTAAATTGTTGAAATTTACGAGATTTAAAAGTTTAGATGAGAGCTTTGAATTCATGAACTGCTGAAAGGCTTTAAAAAGTTTAAGGAATTATTTAATTTTTTTTTTAATTGGCAAACTTTTTTTCTATATTGTAAAAAACTAAAGGTTAGAAAATTTTATCTAAAACACACTAAAATATCATTTAATAGAAATTGAAACATTGTGATTAACCTAAAACCAGAACTTAAAAAAACACTACTGCTAACAGAAAACCACCGCTGCTTATCCAAAACTATAAAGCCAAAAATGAGCTGGTAAATCTAAAAACGAATCATCCCCAATGTTTTAAATTCACATTTCTTCATTTCGCATCATTCATACGTAAATGCATATTTTATATCATAAAGCATATTTTTATACAGAAATAGTGTGCATTGTAACTGTTTCTCATAAATATGAACTTAAAGAAAATTCCTTCGTGCTCACTAATAGCCGAAAAGACAAACTCCCCCAGCACTGTTAATTTGAAACTTATCGCAAATTCTTCTTAAGCTGAGAGATGCATGGAAGTTATATGTTTTCCCTCTATGTATAAAAATTGGCTCTTATTTAATTCAACATGAGCCAGGTTTTCATGAAAGGTCGTCCAAGAAGACATCCCTCTCGTAGACAGAAAGCGCTCTAAATCTCTCGTAGAGGAAAAGTGATTTGTATGAACTTTGCAGATGGAAAGGGGGGTCTACTAAAATGCTCGTACACAGCCCGTCTCCCGTGTTTGAATCCTAGTCGAACTACAAATGTTTAGTAGTTTTCTCCGCTCAGGCATTAGGGGTTCCACCAACTATCTGAGTTCACGTTTTGCTTAAAAACAAACTCAGAAATTTAACAAAACTTTGATGATTTAAGAATGTGATCAACTTTTCTAGGTAAGTTTTGATGAAAACTTATTAAGTTATAATTTAACCATTCAGAGCTAAGAATGTAGATTTGTAAAAAATTTGAACATAACGACTAGTAGTTGATAGTTTTAATATTTTTTGTCGTATTACAACTCGCACAAATAATTTGGTTGCCAATAGTGTTAGTTATGGATTTAGAAGTGCTGGTTACTCGTAAGTATATTAGTTGCTGTAACTATATGTGCGTTCATTTATTCAGATAGAAGCTAGTTAGAAGACTAATACTGTTCAGAGGAGGTAGTAAGACATAAACCTCATAACCGCAGGGTTTTGAATTTCCCAAAAAAATTTAATTTCTTTGGAATGTACGAATTTACCTGTTTTTGTAAAGTTTAAACTAAATTTTACTTGAATTCTGCTCAGGTGTACTTTCTTTCTAAACTGTCAGTAATCAGTCTGTTATAACAAAAGTAATTACAAACTTAAGATTAGCTAATTTTCATTTGAATTTCTGTTAAGATAAACTCTCTTATTAAACTGTCAGTTTAGCCAATTGTTAGCAAAATAAACGTGAAAATAAGACCACACAGTAGATGCATTATACTCATATGATTCTACTAGTACTCTACAGCCGCTTCGGTGATCATTCAACGATCGCACCAGGAAACAGATCAAATATCGGGAGGGAATGCACATATGTAATTTTGCAGCGATGTACATTGACTACTACGTAGCAAATCTCAAATCGACCTCCAAGGTCATTAGGGCACGTCTGGAGACAGCGTCGGCAAAGCCAGTCGCCGGAGTTGCCCCAGCTCCACTTTTTCTCCAATACGAAGTATTGAGTCCTAAATATCATCGCTGCATGACAATTAATATGCTTATTATTGAGTTGCTGTAATAAAATATTTATGCAAATAGAATCGCGAACTTTGTACAGCAGAAGCATGCGTTGTGCATATTTAAATGATTCAAAATAATTCTTGTTCTTGTACTTGGAGCTACTTCTTAACTTCCTACTTCTGTTTTTTGGCTTGTGATTGCTTTTATTTGTGATAGCCGATGCCGTTAGATGGGGGATGTCAATGCATTAGAAACACGTTATTCAACAATGGAAAAGAAAGGTTTTTCTTTGCTTTATCAATGTACAACTTCTTGGAGTCAGATAGCTGCTTTGAATGTGAATATGAAAAGTTGAAAGTAAAAAAACGCCAGATGCAGGATTCAGTTTAGCATAAAAAAATTTTAAAAAGAGACAAATTTAAAAAACAAAATCTGAAATGTTTCATATTTTAAATTACGTCCAAAGGGGCGTTTTTTAACATTTTGTGTGTTACCTTTCTTTATTAAATATCATGTTCCTCGCACTTAAACCATAAGATCCAGTGCAACAGCAATATCGCAAAATAGTTTTAAAACGAGCCTATCTTTAGAATTTCCGATACAGAGACTCACGCGCTGGAGATAAAAATGTTTTTTCTGCACAACGTTGCCATTGCTCGCTTTGAAATCCTTGAGTTTGTTAATCAAAAATTCGTCAAAGTTTTTAAAAAATAGGAAATCGATCATAAAACAAATTTCAAATTTCAAATTTGGTCTTCCACATGCTCATATTCGTTGGAGGATTACGTTATTCAAAATTCGATGACTCTATGTACCGTTGTTTTATCACAATACGAGAAATATACATACATTTACGCAGATTTTTCATTATTTAATTTCTTCAAATATAATGCAGGACTCTAACATTTTGTGGCAACAGTTTGAAAAGTGAACCGACATTTATGAGTCCGACGCAAAATGCCAAAACGAAACTAATAGTCCTTCGGGATTCAAATCCCTTTGGACTAAAAAAAAAAAAAAAAAAAAAAAAAAAAATCTTTACATAGTACATCGGTGCATTGCGTAACGAACATCGGCACATTGAACGCGCTTATGGACAATAAAATGTGCTACATGATGGATTCTTTGCTCCATTAAAAATCGACGCGATTCATGACACGTTGAAGGCGGAATTGCATTTGATTTACTTTCTGTTTTATCAAGGTGTAAAAATGGTCTGCTTGTAAATCAAGACAACTAACAAAGAAGTGAAAAACTATATCTTCTTAATATGTTCTTAAAATGTTGTATTGTTGCCTTCAATACCGCAGTAGTAATTTAAATCTCTACATATAATGAAAGAAAGAGTCTGAGTGTCTTTCGTTCGTGCTGCGCGTAAGCTAATAGACCCAGGACTAAGAAATGTGGTATATAGGTGCATATATACAGGAGCCAGTGCACATCGAAGCGATTTTTTCAAAATTCGAATCAGATTTTTTTTTAATTTTATCTTTTCGATTTTATCGCATCATTTTGAATAGTTCATTCTTTTGGAAATATGGTTTTGGCAACAGTTTTTCATTCAATTGTATACTGGACTGCTGACTGTTGAAAATCAGCATTATTGCCACTTCCAAAAATGAGGGCGATAATTCTGTGCAGTTTTTAAATTTAATTTTTCTCTTGGATACTGGACGTTTGCTAAGAGAAGTCAACGGGAAGTTGGTTAATTTATTTATTAGGATAGTTAATATTTGTACTAAAGGATATTGCTTATTTCATTGTAATTTTGTTATATGTAATATATATTTTTTTATTTTTTATTATTATTCTTTTAATGAAGTTGTTTTGCAGAGTAAAATTCTGCGCAGTTTTTAAAACTTGTTTTTTCTGCATTTAAAAATGTTTTTTCTGCACAACGTTGCCATTGCTCGCTTTGAAATCCTTGAGTTTGTTAATCAAAAATTCGTCAAAGTTTTAAAAAATAGGAAATCGATCATAAAACAAATTTCAAATTTCAAATTTGGTCTTCCACATGCTCATATTCGTTGGAGGATTACGTTATTCAAAATTCGATGACTCTATGTACCGTTGTTTTATCACAATACGAGAAATATACATACATTTATGCAGATTTTTCATTATTTAATTTCTTCAAATATAATGAGGACTCTAACATTTTGTGGCAACAGTTTGAAAAGTGAACCGACATTTATGAGTCCGACGCAAAATGCCAAAACGAAACTAATAGTCCTTCGGGATTCAAATCCCTTTGCAATAAATATTCTAAAATGTACATAAATTTACATCGGTAATATATGTAAAAGCATATAATCGTATTTTAAGATTAATACTTCAATAAAATGGACATGGAAACAATTCTACACGTAATAAAATATAAATAAATGGCGTTGAGATTTCTTCTTCATACTTTCAGATTTTTCATTTATTTTTGTGTAATAAAAATAAAACGTTCTCTATAACAAAATGCATATCCTTTATTCTGAAATGAAATTAAAATCACACTTCATGACACATAATTGTATAAGGTAATATCTAGCAGATCCAGAAAATAAAAATGGTATGTTTGAAAAAAAAAATGTTTTGTTTTTCAAAACTCCTCGCAAAGATTCTTTATAAGCATAATAAAGAATCTTTTTCATGGCCTACACTTTCTGTTAAATATTGTTCTGGAATGGATGACATCATTGAAAACTTGCCCATAGTGCAGCCCAGGGCATAAACCGATCTGGGTTCGCAAAGTGGGAGGATGGACAACTCCTATGCCTTCTCCAGAATTTGAACCCGACACCAGCGCGTACCGTTCAAACAGAGCAGAATAAGAAATGTGAAAATCCATAAAATTATTTTCTTTTTTGAAATTGTGTAAATTTTTGAATAAATATGCAGAACATAAAAACAAACCTGCGAATTGCTGAATTCTGTAGTACGGATGATATGCTGGCCCGGGAGTCCGATATTAGATGTGGTCGACATGCGAATAACTTTGGGCTGGAATAGCAATGGATCAATATTCAACATGATGAGACTCTTGCAAAAACCAGGCAACTCTCCTCAATCTGTTTAAAGAAATAATTAACCCATAAATATGGTTGATTTTCAAATAGTTTTAAAACTAATTACGCAAAATGATCCAACTACCTACTGCAGATATATCAAAATGGTACATAATATCTATATAATAGCAGTTAGACGAATGGCTAGTTTCTTTGCATAAATGGCTGTGGAACTAACCCTTGGCTAGAAATATAACTGCTAAGCAATTTTTAAGGGCTTTTGTAGCATTTTCTATCATCAAAAATTATAAACACTTACATACAAATGTTTTCATACGGAAAGTATTTTTATTGGAAGCAAGCGAAATTTGTGCCTCAATTACCCCATTCTAATATGATTTGAAAACTCCTGAATAACGTTGTCATTTATGTAGACATTAGGAATTTTTATGTTTTTGGAATTCGAGGAACTAAAGTATGTGCAATGCTGTCACCGAGATTCGAACTCCGTACCTCGCATTAATCGTCAGACATGCTTCAAGTTACACCACGGAAGCACACGAAAAGAAGAGGAAAATATTCTACAACGCAAAAGATAATGTACTGATAACAACTTAGTAGTAGATATTTAATTATGAGTTCGGATTTATAATTCAGATTTTGACAAGTGAGTTGTTGCTAATGCAACTACTTGCAACAATTGAAAAAGATTGTTGGCAATGTCTCAATATGTTTTTGCGATATTCAAATTTTCAATTAAATCTAGCTCTTTGTAGATGAATGATATGTTAACGAGGATTAACTTAGCGCAAGCATCCAAGTTTTCATAGAATTCTATATTAGTACATGACATTTAAAACGTTTACAGAAGATTGTTTGAAGGCAATATCGAAGACTCTTGTAGGAAAACATTCCACAAATTACCGGGAAATCTTATTAGAGATACCAATGTTTCTGGTACCCTGGGAAAAAATAATCCATATATGGCTGTCAGGAAATAAAAAGGAAATATCTTAGTGGAACTTATGCGTTAGATTTTTAGAAAAAAAAATCCCCGAAGATGATGTCTACAATCATCTCCAAACTGAATATACTATAAAAATTTGTTCTAAATATGGCGAGAACTATCTCGTAAGATCCCAGCATTTAAATAAATGAAGCCATAAAATCTTGCTAGTTTTTTTGCACGTTCGAAAGCAGTTTGATTTACTTTTGCACAACAGAAAAAATTTAGCTTACATATTTGTTTTAATTTAGGGCTAAATATTTTGGTAGCTTCTGATAAATCATTGATAAGACTGTGTCATTGATAAGACAAACAAACGTTATGACAGCGCAAAAATAAAACTTCCCAGTCATATATTTGATTTCACGAATTTTATTATACGATGTAAAAAACCACCACCTTGAGATAAAGGAAAAGTAGTATAAGCGATTTGAAGGCAAATTTTTAACCCGGGCAAAAGGTGTCAGGTATTTAGCAAAATGTGTCAGAAGAGATTTTATTCAGGATCTCATTTCTATTAATGGAAGTTATCATCTGAGCTTCCACTGACTTTATTCGGAAAACAAAATGAGATGAGAAATTAGAACTCAATATATAAAGAAACTTTCTTTTCAGAACAGAGTTTTTAACTGTTTCAGAGTCAAATTCTTTTCTCAGCTGCAAAATGGAAAATACTAACTTCCTTCTCCCTGAAAAGATACTCTGTAATAAAAATAGGACTAGCTTAAAGAGTTTAAAACTAAAATTAAGTTACTACAAATAAAACTTCTATCCAATCTTTATAAAAGCAATAATATTATTTTCTTTTAAACCAAACAAATTCCTCTTAAAACAGCGTAGTGTAAGTTGTGAAAGCCAAATTGCTATTTTTGCTCTAATGCTTCGTTTATGGAAGTTATCGTTTATGATTTTTGTTACAAAATGACCACGAAATAAAACTTTTAATTGGTAACTGAGCTCGGTAAATGAAATTAAACTTTTAATCTGAAGGTTATTATTTTAAAAACTATACTTCTGAATGTTTTCTATTAGTTAAAATATAGTTATAATAGTAATAGATTTTATATTACTTATGTCAAGTTACTTGATGTTTCTGATGAAAGTAATATTAATGAATGAATAAAACAGATATTAACCAAATATTATCGAATCAAATTAAGATACGATTAAAATCCAAAACCTCTGCAAAAAGAAATAGAAAAATACAGTGGGGAAAAAAACTGCATCTATGCATCAGTAATAATCGCTGTTGGAGCCATAAAATAAAAGAAAGTACGTCCGCTGTTTTGATTAAACCTAATACTGTCAAATAGCACTTCCTAGTCATTGTCTGTTACACAAATCTTTCAAGGCTATCCACAGTCAAATAGAAACTGTTATTATTGTATTATCACATGCATAGATTGAGAACAAATAGCCCATTATATAAAGAAGTATAAAACACAACGGCTTTATACTTTCATCACATATTTAGAGGTTAAAATGGAAATTATAAAACGCAATTTCTCCACCAATTCACCATATCCAAAAGCTTGAATGAAGTAATATAAAAATTAGGATATTATAAAATTTTGGATAGTGTGCCACATTCTCATTCTGCAAAACAGTGAGAAAATTTTGTAATTGGTAAATGGTTTTGCCATCAAAATTCAGCACAACTAAAAACAAGCTATTGATTAAAATAAATGACTTAGTCTATTTTACTATTGGCATGGATATGAGAATTTTTACCGCAAGATATTGCTAATCTATCTGTTTAAACATAATATTTCAATTAAGTTACAATGTAAGTTTTCTGTGTCAGTTTTCTCACTGTTACACACCACAGCCTTAGGCCGGATGTCATCTCGATAACGAGAAGAGAAATTTGTTCTACGAATTTCGTTATCACTGAAAATACATCGACAGTATGCAGTATTATTTTCAGTCATCTTCACCAATGTTCTAGGTTGAAAAAGGTTAGTTCTAAGTTGATCAGAGATATAATTAGTATATAGAGCAGTTATAAGAAATTCTGCTGTTATTACTCGTACTTCGGTAAAGGAAAGTGAGTAAAATTGGTGTGCTAAGAGTATAAGTCATGTCTTTCATAAAACATTTACAAGTCAATAATTACAACAGTTTCAGTTTTCTTAACTTACTTCAGGCAGTTTCGTTTGCATATCTAAAAGTTTAATGTAAGATAATTTTCCATCTTAACAAAATAATAATTATTTAAAAAATATTGATTAACCTTCATAAAAATACGGATTGATGGCTTGCCAATGTCGAGCTATGGTTTGCCATGACTGAGGTTCATCACGGTTGTGTCGGAGCCCGAGGACATGCCAGAGATTTGCGATGGTATTAAGGTCAAGGCAATACAGCGGCCACTCTACACAAGGAATGCCTTTACTCTTCAGGTACTCGTCAAAGATATTCGCTCGATGGTGACGGGCATCATCATGATCCGTAAGGTGGAAATTAGGATCAAATGCTGCAGAGTAGAACCTCAAAATGGGCTTATTAATTCATTCCGATATTGCTCTCCAGCCATAGAATTGTCTTTAAAAGTGTGCAGCTGGGTGAAATATTAAACTGAAACTCCAGCCCACATAATGATGTTACCATTTCGTATTGCGTGACGCTCGATGATGTTCTGGATCAGATTCCGTGCACCTCATTCTCCCCATAGGTAGATTCCGTTGTGCCTCCTGATTCCGTGTGCCTCATTCTCCCCACACTTATCATTTAATTTTTAGGGCATATCTGAATTCGTCCGTGAACTGGGAGGCTAGTAGATCACAAACACTTTTCACTCAGACGTACAGTTCCTTCATGTGAAGGATTCGGCGCACAGTACTGGCAGTTACTGTCTTACCAATAACGCTGCAATCATGGATGTTAACAACTGTGGAAGTCGGTCGTCGATTCTCTTTAGCTACTGCAGCAATATACCGATCTTTAGTAGGGGTGATAACCCTCAGTCGATCGGGCGTAGGTCTCCTGACAACTGTTTGATTTCTTGGAATTGTTTCCAAGTTCAAAAAAATTATCGGATGATCAGCACCGTACAAAAAGGTGACATTTTTGATTAATTTCAAAGAGCTCAACAACACGATAGCACTCATTATCTCCCATTCGTCTTCGTTCACCCAGGGAACACAAATATAATCAATAATTATATTTGAATTTAATATATATATAATATATATATATTAAATTAATATAATTTATATTTTAAAAGTGGAAAAAATGTAATGTAATTCCATAAAATATTTAATGTTTTAAATTAGATATGTCATGAATTAAATGCTATTTTACTTAAATCAATCAGATTAAAAAGTAGAAAAAATATTTCTAAGAACTGCATCTATTACTTTTAAACAGTTTAAATTATTAATGAATAACAATGATCCAAAGGGCATTAAATATATAAATCCAAAGGGGATTAAATATGAAAGAATAATATCTTACGTTTTTCCGAATGGCAACAGATTTGAATGAAAAATAAAACAACGTGTTAAAGAACAACGACGTAAAAATCGCGTTTCAAGATTAATAGTCATTTTGGACTTAAAATGTATAATTAATTTTTCCTATTTTTTCTTTCTATAAATATACAAAATATTGTCTTTAATTAGATTACTTCTATTTTACATTTCATTCTAATCAGAAACAAATAAATTTGCCATCGACTATTCACCTATTTTTATTTCTTATAATTTTATCTAAAATGTAAAGGAGGTCTCATTTTTGAGTACATACAGTACATCTTTAAACTGAGTTGACATGTCATTCAACGTTAACAGGGGGTCTATAAAAATTTCTACATGATGATTTAAATTTCTATTTCTAATCAGACCCATCAGTGATCGAGCGGTAAAATAGCTGAACACTGGGTAGTTCAACCCGAGTTCAAATGTCGGTGAACGAGCTGCCTGCATTAGAGTTTTCGTGGCTTTCTCCATGTGTTAAGTGTATGCCAGGAAGTTTTGTTCAGAAAGTCCTTTACGAAGGTAGTTAACTTTCTAAACAATTAGTTCTCGTGTGCTTTGTTGTAACCCAAAATAAACCA